TCCGGGCCTTTCTCCCCCTCCTCCGCTTGCCCTGCGTCGTCATTTATGGCTTGTGTGTACATACCAGTGCAGAACTCGGAGGAGGAGGTCAGGGTAGCTCTCGACCAGCTCCCCAGGGACGCTTCTGATATTCTTGACATACTCAAGGCCGAGCAAGCTCCGTTGGATCTCTGGCTAATCATCGCGGTTTGTTCTACTCTCTAAAGCGGAAATGTGATGCACCTTTATGCTTGATTTCACTTTTCGCCCGTAGCTCATCTTCTGTCGCCAATTTTGTCTTATGAATTGTGCTTGGTTTCAATTTAGTTGAGTAATCGGAATGCGTAATGGATGAAGTTGATACAGTATCATGCTTGTATTTTATTAATAATTACAAACCAAGCAAGGGGGTGGCGGAATTATGCGTGTGTGTTCCTTTTATTTTTTTTGGAAAATTTTATGTAACGAACTTCTGAGAAGTTATTGATTATGAAAGTAGAAGTTGGACCAGCTTTTCAACTTCAATTTGCTTATGAATGAAAAAGATGATTGATGGAGTGCTTTGGATTTACAGTTGAGTAAAATCCAATTGAGTAAACTGCGTGAAGTAGAGTGTCATAAGTTACGACTTCTCATAATTTGTCGGAACTTCTACATGACAGAAAAATCAGAAGTGCTATTAAGTTTTGCTTATTATTCCAAGTTTAGGAGTATTTGGCGATTATGCACGCTTAAAGATGAGCTTAGCTCAATCGGTAGCATAGATATGTAAAACCATTGCCAATACGGATGTAGCTTTTTTTGGCAAAGGTTATTTCGGATTTTACGTAGTGTTCCTGGCCAATATATTGGAGGATTTAATACAAACTTCATGTCACTAGGTTCTTTATGATCATTTGAATCTGCAGCTGAATGATTTTTTACAATGTATTCTGTCAGTTGTTCATTCCACCAACTGCCAAATTATCCTTCTCTTAAGATTTATTTATTTATATTTTATTTTTTCATTGCGAACTATATCAAACAGTTGGGAACATCATGCAATTTTTAGGGCGTATCTAATTTATAGTTAAAACCGATTTCCCATAATTTTCTTTGCCTCCATCTTGTGCTGTCACAATGACGATGTTATAATGAGACAATTGTTGCTTCGAGATCTATTGTTAACTTAGACCATCAAACCAAGTTCATGCCTTTTGCGACGATCATTTTTTTAATATAATATTTTTAAGTACATATTTCTTGTGGTCGATGCATCGTGTTTTCTGCTTTTGTCATTTGCTACATCCATGTCTGAGTTTCCATGTATCATTTCCTCAACACATTGCAGAGGGAGTACTTTAAGCAAGGAAAACTGGAACAATTCCGCCAAATTCTGGAGGAGGGGTCTAGTCCAGGTATTGGCTTCTTTTGAAATGTTGGACTTTTTAGATTAATTTTCTTCTTTATTTTCTGTCTCTGAGTAAATGTAATACCTTTCTCAGTTGAATAGAATAAATAAGCCCATATATATATATAGGTATATAATTTTCTAATCTTAACTCAATCTTCTGAAACTCTTTTGTTGCAGAAATTGATGAGTACTATGCGGACGTTAGATATGAAAGAATTGCAATCTTAAATGCCCTGGGTGCTTACTACAGCTATCTTGGAAAAATTGAGACGAAACAACGAGAAAAAGAGGAACATTTCATTTTGGCTACGCAATATTACAACAAAGCATCAAGAATTGATATGCATGAGCCCTCAACTTGGGTAGGAAAAGGTAAAAATTTTATAATTTTAATTATTGTTTTAAATTTCAAATTTATGTTAGGACGTTAAAATTAAATAAAATTGATAATTTTTTGCTAACTGTTTTAAATTGCTTATGCACTTCCTTTGATTATGTCATTTTGAATATTATTTGAAGCATGGTTGAAACTAAAATGCCCGCAATGTTCACAGGTCAACTTTTATTGACTAAAGGGGAAGTAGAACAGGCATTTGCTGCATTCAAGATTGTTTTAGATGGAGATCGTGACAATGTTCCTGCTCTTCTAGGTCAGGTATAAGGGAAATCTTTCACCTGACCATCAGTTAACCGATATTTGGTAACTGGAGATCATGGAAAAAAGATGCCATCTATAAGGCGATAACCTTTTTGGTCCCTTAATAATAAATTACTTCTTTTACTGATCCTTCATTTTGGTGTGCTTATTTCCCGAAGGAATGGTGCAATTATATACATTCCCTTGCGGATGGAATGCACTGTCTGTCTATTTTATCTGATATTTGGAAAGAGTTGAATGTCAATTGCATAAGAATGTGCTGTACTAGATCTTATGTACCTGCTCAAAGTTCTCATTCAATAAATCTATTATATTTGATACACCTGTCGAGGTTATGTGCTTGATACTGGTCTCTGCAATCTGGTGTAGAACTGTGACTGTTATTGGATTGTTTCTTATTGAAAAGGAAAAAAAAAAGAAGGTGCAGAGCTATTACTGTTACCTCATATTTAACAATGTCTACTTAATTAATTGAGGTCCAATTCTCGAAGTTGAAACAAGACTGAATGAAGATCTATTGGTTGATGTATTCTGCTCCCCTTAATATCTTCGGCATATCTTCAGGCATGTGTTGAATTCAACCGTGGACATTATTCTGAGTCATTAGAGCTGTACAAGGTTAGTTGCCTTCTCATATCTGCAGAACAAGTGATATATAAAGACACTTTGTTATATTCTATACTTGATGGGGACCAACTTGTCCGCTTCCTTGATTACTTAACTTATTTGGAAAATGCAATTATTTCAAGCCA